CGGCAGACATCTACCAACTCAGGGGGCAGCGGGGCTAAGTCGCGGCAGACATCTACCAACTCAGGGGGCAGCGGGGCTAAGTCACGGCAGACATCTGCCAACTCAGGGGGCAGCGGGGCTAAGTCATGGCAGACATCTACCAACTCAGAGGGGCAGCAGAGCTAAGTCACGGCAGACATCTACCAACTCAGGGGGCAGCGGGGCTAAGTCACGGCAGACATCTACCAACTCAGGGGGGCAGCTCTTCCTGCCTCGGCCTCCCCCAGTCACCGCCAGGCACTGCGGGCGGGTCCGAAGCTGGAACTGAGTTGCAACACAGTTCCTTCACGAACTCAAGAGCAAGGAGAAAGGAGTCAGGAAGGCTCCCGGAATGGTAGCAGCGGCCTGCAGGCTCAGGGACTCGTGACAATTTGGAGCAAGATGAGGCCAGAGCCACGACTTGGATCCCACTCCATCCTAAACCACGCATGTCACCAACGGGACGGCAGGGCCCTCGACACTAAGCAGTGGGACTCGAGATGACACAGCCATCAGTCGCAGAGTGGAGGGGAGCGCTGACTTGCGCTGTCCACACGCCTTCCCGCAGTCCTGGCCTGGCTGCGGTCCCTGGAGAGGACATGGGGCGCTTCGCTTGGAGGTGAGGATGCCCCCCGGGCCAGCGCAGAGGCGGGGAGGCGCAGACAGAAGGTCTGGGGAGGAGGGGCTCCGGGTCTGTGCCCAGACATGGAAATTTGCTCTTTTATCTAAGGCTGACTAAATGACAAGGAAAATGTAATGTTATTAATATGCCATCATGCAGCAAATTGCTCTTCTAATGAAACAGCTCATCTTCAGGTAAACCCATATCCCACATCAATGTGTGTCTCTTCTACACCAATGTGGAATTGTGCCCGACACTAGTTCAAGGATACTGGTTAGTGTTCACCAGCAAGGCACAAGAGCATAGGGTACTGTTACACAACAATGACAGAGTTATCCCCACTCCGGCACCAGGAAGCAGTGCCACAGTTCACACACACGCACGCACACACGCACACACATGCACACGCACACGCACGCACACACATGCACATGCACACACACGCACACATGCACACGTGCACACACACGCACACACATGCACATGGACACACACATGCACACGCACACACATGCACACACACGCACACGCACAAACACACGCACACACACACGCACACACACACATGCACATGTGCACACACACACACACACACACACACGCACACGTGCACACGCACGCACACCCTCGGGCCCAGGAAGCAACGAGCAGTACACAGGCATGGGAACCTGCAGGTCCTCCCCCATCATTTTGAATGACAGCCTCCTATATCTGCTGTTCCCAAGTTAGGGGCAAGACCTGTCTGGAGTTTAAACCCAGGGCCTTCTTTACCAAAAAGTGGCAACCCACCACAGCGAGGGCAAGCAGGGTGCCCAGTCCCTCTGAGGGTAACGGACACACACTCACGCTCAGACACGCACACGCACACACACACAGACACAGAGCTCAGTCCCTCTGAGGGTAACGGACACACACTCACGCTCAGACACGCACACACACAGGCACAGAGCTCAGTCCCCCTGAGGGTAACGGACACACACTCACGCTCAGACACGCACAC